TTAGGGCGTAGGGTTTCGGGACGCAGAGGTGTCAAGATATAGAGGTATCGGTACGTAGAGATATTAGGACGCAGAAGTATCGGGATGTGGAAGCATCAGGACGTAGTGGTATTGGGACGTATGTAGATGTATCAGGACGTATAGATATCGGATCGTAAAAATCTTTGCATATACCGTCCATAAGTATCCGGACACAAGCGAAATATGAATTCGCGTTGCATGAAAGTTATTCAAGTATCTGCAACAGTAACTAAAATCGATTTTTTTTCTGCGAAGGTCAGAATACTGGAACGTTTTTCGATTGATAATTCTCGTTTGGAACTCATATCTCGATGGAAAAGAAGCTACAGACGAACTAAACCGAAACTGTCGAGTGCATTGCGTTACCTCCATTCTTATCTCCATTGAGGGAACCTAATTGAGGGAACCTAAACATCTAACAGTTTACAAACACTTGAAACATATCGAAGAACCCTCTGAATACGTTCTGCACCATAGAAATGAAACACAGTAGAAATTAAAATTTTTTTTAGAATCGAAAGCGTTTCATTAGATTCACAAATTTGGACTTTGTACTTCTGGACATGAATTTTACTTTCACACTCTCATTGTATAATTTGTACTTAAAAATTAATTCTATTACGTTATGACACCTCAAAAAAGATAATAATAATTATTACAAATGATATGATAACCCTAAATACCTTTCGTATAAAGTTCAACTGTGTTTTATGTAACGAAACCAAATGTCCGGATACTTATGGACGGTAGTGTATTTGCGTATTTATTGCATCAGGTTTCACTCCTCCAGCAAACGGCGGATTAAAAGTAACAGAAGTCGAACTTGATTTCCAAGCCAATTTTAATTGCACAGTCAGCGTGTGTGATTAGCTTCGGTCGCGCACGTGCACCATTCACACGATTGGCAGTGATTGCATGATTCGGCCGAGGTTGTCGTGCACGACACTCCTGCACCATGCACGTGAAAACCCCAAAACACCCGTGATTTCACGTAACAGATACTTTCCTAGCTTTCGTAATACTATCAACTACTATACAATCATTGACTATCGATCGTTTTCGAGTTCTTCTTTTACCACAAGATATTTTAGGTACTTGTATCGATTATTGACGTTACTGTAATTTTTCTCCGATGAGAATGGTATTTTAAGTTTACTTCGTGTTGTCATAGTTTTTCATAAATTTGAAGCATGTACCATGAAGACATTTCAAGTTGTAAATTTTCAAAACCGCAATTTTGAAATTCTACAATTTTCAAATTTTCTCAAATTCTTCAGTGTTCTAATTTTCTAAAATTCTTCAATTTTCAAATTTTCTAACATTCTTCCATTTTTCTATTTTTCACAAATTGCACATTCTAGTTTGGAGAAAAGGTCTTACCTGTATTCCTGAAGTTGTCAATGTAAGATGAATCGTGAAAGTTCTGCTTTGCGATAAATATATTCGATAATTTATTCTTGAATATTCTGCAGATTTTCAAGGGTGAAGTACCTCTTCCATTGCTTTTAAAAGTCCCAATTCAGATGCGGCAGCCATCTTGGTACGTTCAAGAGAAAACGAGACATCTCTGCTGTTACTCGCTTCTATCATTCGTTCGGTTTAATTAAACGTTTTTAGATTTACTTAACATTGTTTTAACTAAATAGTGTTCTGTAATAGTTAAAATATCTTCATGAACGGGATTAATATAAATGGACAAAATTTGTTATATCACCGTTTCAATCACAACACTTTGATCAAAAATGTCACTAAATACCAAACTCTGGAAACCGCCATTTAACTCTCCTATTTTATTCGAGTCATATTCAACGATATTTCAAAATTTGACTATCTCTTCAGAAAGTTGTTCTTCAATTTGTTATTCAAAATTGATTTATCGAAATTGTTATTCAATCTGTTCAAGTTATTTGTAACTCTTTTTAAACAAATATTGTACTAAGTCAAACCTCCCAAATTGTATAAAATAGTAATCAATTTTCATTTATTCCGCGAGCCACTGAGAAGCGTCGTACATCGAATTCGTTGAAAATGAAGATAGTACAGTGGTACAATTTGTTCACAATATATTAAATGTACTAAAACATACATTATATTACTACATAATGTATTAACAAACTGATGCACTTAATTATGAAGCAGCCGAATCGACAGAACGGTACTATTTATTATTTTACTGTTTTAAAATAATTAAAACGTCTTTAAAATATCTATAAGGACATCACGGACCAACAATAATTTCAGCAGTATTTTTCTTAATGGTCTCCGCACAGCAAATTGAATAAATCATCAAAATCCATTGAAACGTCACACATCGGTCTGCTGATTGCAAGTTTGCTAACTACCCGATCAAAATTGTTACGAATGTTTCTCTTAACACAATGTCGCCAATAAATTACCACTAGAACAGGAGAGTTAAATGTACCTCTAAGAAATCTTCTCTAAAATCACGGGAGATCACTCGAGCCTCTTCCTGTCGGCGTTAAAAAAAAGTAATTTAAATATGTCGCGTGATACCGGAGGTCCTTTATCGCGAGGACTACGTGGAGCACAGGGTGCACAGGGTGTACGCGTGATCTATGGCTCGTAATTCTTGGTCTCTGTTCGCGGCTGCAGGGGTGGTCAGGGTGCGTCGCCGTTAATCGCCCTCTGCGAGCACGCCCAATCGCGAAATCGCGCACAACGGGGTGGCTGAAGACCGTAGATGATTGGCCGACAGGCGGAGCAACTTCCTCGGAGCTTATGATGGTTGCAGAGGGTGGTATGAGAGCAACCCCTTGGAAACTCTGCCGTCGAAAGCGCGAAAGTCAACTCGCAAGGTTTCCCCTCTAATCGAACAGTGCTCGAAAGAGACCCGCCATCAGACACCTTGTTCGACGATTTTATGACACTGCTAATGTGTGCTGTTTCTACCTGATTGGCTCTCGTTTTTTGCAGTATAATAAATCTTTGTAATGGACAGGAATTTTTTATAAGTACGATACTGTAGACATTTTGTTTTTGAGATTCAAAGGAGTATGATACGTGGATTGTCTTCTCCTTGTCTTCTTGTTGTCTTGGCTGCCATCTTCTCAGCTCTCGACAGTGCAAAGGACTGACGATCTTATGACACAATTTTATGATAGTATGTGTATAAAGGACTGGTAATAATGAATAACCAGCACAAGGAACAATTTTGTGACACCGTATTGGACATTGATGTGATTAATGTATTGAAAGGACTGATAGCGCAACACAAAGTGTGGAGATGCATGTTGATTAGGAAGACGTAGAAAATGCAGGTAAAACATCAAGATCTTTCAATTGTAATTTTAGAAATCATGAAGTATGAAGATTTATGAATTTTAGAATTTATAAATTTATTAAATTTATACAGTAAACCACTTCGAACTACAAATTTAACCCAACATAAAAGTAGTATAAATTGACACTCCGTATATATCATTTTATTGTTCGAAGGTAGCTAAAAATCTCGAGTTATCGAATAATCGGAACAGTTTTTAGAAAGACAGCCATGAAACGTTAGTGAACACCTGTAACTTTCACACGATGTATACTACAGTATCACGATTGCGAGAGATGGTCGTAATAAACGGCACCCGTCGTTGAATATTTTATTTATTATTGCCTGAAAATCGATGATTGTCATCTTTCGGCCACGTGTTGTCCACTGATCCCTAGTTTGCATAATTAGACTGTTTCATAGTCTCCCCAGCTTCTGAACACGTATGAGCGTAATAAAAAATTCATAGAAATTGCTGCATCGACTGGAATCAAAAAACAACTTCCATGTAATGATACATTAGTTATTAACTTTTATTACAAAATTATTTTATAACAATATTTTTATCTGCATTCTAATATGACCTTCTATGTACAAATGTTACGTAAAATATTTACTCTTTCCTTTATAAATAAAATATTAATTACATCAATTTGAACTGATATTAAATAATCAATTTAAAGCCGATATTAATTTTACCAGAGTGTATAATTTCTCCAACGTTACATTTCACAAATTTAATTATTCTACAAATTTTCGTTACTAAAAAATTTATATTTTGTGACATGTATTGGATCATTGAAAGTTATTTTTGCGAACATGTATATAATCCACTGTGCTCAATATACAGTGTTTAATATGCAGTAAAAAATGAGAATATAATATAGCAATAGGAATGAAAGTAGGTGTGAAAACTTAATTTCAACCGCATCGGTTCTGTCAGGGAAAAGCAAGCGGACTGCACATGATAGGTCGAAGGATCCGTAGATTCTGAAGCACCTTCTCGACGTGGCAGGAGCAGAAAATCGCGTTGAAGTGGCAACGGTCGGGCTAATGGCTCAGAGACGATATTTTGTTAAACAAGGAAACCTTTTATCCCCCGTACCATTTTCTCGGGCGAACGCTCGGGGACAGGGATGGCTCCGTTTCAAAAGAACTGTGCTTGTGTTCACTCTCATCGGTTCCTATGTACGTACAGTCAACGCCAAATCTGCCATCTCTAGGGAAATGTTACCAAACTGAGGAACATTTAACTGTTCGCTAATTGTTCTTAGCGATTTTTGACGAGTTGAACATTTTGGGGGTGGATTAAGAATTTGGGGACTTTTGAATTTGACGATCTTGGGACTTGGGGAGTTCGAGATTAGGTGGGGGAATGTAGGTATTTCGACAGGTAGGTATTTGAGAATTGTAGGAATTCTCCTAAAGGAAATCGTAGGATTTGGAGAATATAAAAATTCAGAAAATTTGAGGATTTTGAGGATCTAGGAAGTTGGAGTGATCGACTACTTTGGGGGATGTAGAGATTTAGAGATCTAGGAATTTAGTGAATCTAGTGTTTTGAGAATAGGAATCTTGGAACCTTAAAATTTGTCTGAATAGGAAATCTAGGAAGTCGTAGTAAATTTCTGAATTTGGAAATCTAAGCATATGAAGATGGTGAAATATGGAAATTTAAAAATGTAAGAATATCAAGATTCAGAAATTTGAAAATATAAAATATGAAAAAGTAAAAATTTGTCCATAAATCATATGTGTACTCTACGTATCACATGTATAATATAAAGTTTGCATCAAGGTGTATCTTATGGAGTCCAAGTTCTATCAATATAAGATTGAAAAATAACCATTGTTACATTATGTGAATCACACACAGAAGCTAATTGAGGTATTTAACCATATAAATACCGACGTGTTTGTTATGAATATACCAATGAAAAAGTGTATTAAAGAGCGTTGATCTCTATTTGTATCGCGTGGCAAATGGAACGATTGCGAAGATGCTCCTGATAAAAGCAGCCCTGAACCGTCACTTTGGTTTTCTTGTCACCAGAAGGGAACGAGCTGGAAGTGTGAACCGTCGACCACTACGACAAGATGCCATCTGCCTTTTCTCATGGTTCACCCACGCATATACTGCCATTCTCGCGAAATTCCTTCGATCCCTCCCGCTCTCAATCACTTCTCACTTTCAGCCCTTCTAAGATGCGAATCGATGTGGCTCACCTACTCAACAACTCTCCGGAGTTTTGTTCGTGGTAAGCTTCGACTGACAAGTTAATTCACTCTGTTTCGGAGAAACGAGGTGATGTATAGGATCTTGATATAACTTTAGCAGTGCTCAATTAACCAACCCACAAAATACTGCTTAGGGTGTCGAGAAGTGTTACAGAAATTTTATTTAATTTTAAAGTTTTTTAGATATTTGGAGTACATTGTTAGACTCTTGACTTGCGTTACAGTGATATGAAATTAGAAGGACGTTCTGTCGTTTAAAAATGTGGAAAGCATTGTTAAACTCTTGACATGCGTCACAGTGATATGAAATTAGAAAGAGGTTCTGTCGTTTAAAAACGTGGAAAGAATACCGAAAGTGTCATTCTGAAGTTCTTACGTTCTAAAAAGATATTCACAATTCCAATCTTCAATTATCTTCGCTTAAAATATCTGTATTCCTCTAAAGAATAACAAGTCAAAGTAGAAATAGCGATTTATTAAAAATAACTAAAATTACTTTGGAATAAAAACTTTGCAAAGAGTAATTCTGAAAGAAAAAAAAAATGGTTCCGGCCGGGATCGAACTGGCGACCTTCTGCGTGTAAAGCAGACGTGATAACCGCTACACCACGGAACCACATGTCAGGAGTTCCCTTTCTATGATTTATAAGTGGAACTTGCATTACACTGTACTAATTATAAAAGAATAAACTGAACATAATGTAAAGTTACATTAAGTTACGAGTTATAACGTTGATTCTTAATTCTAAATAAAATTCTTTCTATTATCTACTTGTAATACATGACCTCAACGCACGGTGAAGATAAAGCAAATCCGAAATGACACTATTATGTAACATAATCTTACAAAGATAAAAATAATATCTGCTTAAAAATTAAGATAGGGTTACGAATGAATAGAAATCATGTATATTATTGCACTTTAATTATAAACATATGAACAAATCAGCTTGTACCGTATAGTATGCTAATGGCAGTGAAATTATTATGATACTAATATTCATGTTTTGTATAAATAGGAATATTTACGTTACATTGCACTTCTTACATTCTATTAAGTTTCGAGTGGCACTTCATTTCTTCGTGTAAAATAAAAAAAGAATATATCAATGTTTGACATAAGTACATGACAAAATTTCACGTTATCACTATTGTGTATCTTAAATACATACAAATAAATTTAATCGATTAATAAATTATCTGTATTTGCTTCTGCAAAACAAAATGGAAGAAATGACGGAAGACGGTGATACAGCGTTTCAGTCTTGCCAATAGAAATTTCATAATCAATGTTATTTAAAACAAATTGGTCCAACCGTAAAACCAAATGCCTGTTGTGGTAATCCATAATCGACCGGATAGAAATCCACCAACGGTAATTGTTGTAATTTTTTACTTTCGATCAAAAACACCGTTTCTCCTTTACTTTTACGTGTTTTGCAGTTGTCCACCGTAATTTGCGGCTGGATACCGGTGTGCGAAAATTCGTCCTCGTTCGCACCGAGCAATCGTAAAGAAAAATTATAGTCGGAATTCAAAGTATTGTACCAGCCAATGCTGTTCATGCAGGTGTACGTGAAGTTTTGATAAGCTTCTTCACTCAATAGACGCAGGAAATTTAATTGCACCACTCCGATCGTTTCGTATGTAATCTGTAAAGTTAAACGACTTCGATAAACCCATAGGTATCTAATTCAAAACGTATAAAAATTTTATTTCAGCGCTTTGCAATTTTAGCACGTTGGAATTTAGGGACTGTAGAATTTGAGGGCAACAGGATTTAGGGACTTCAGAGTTTTTAAACTTTATAATTTCAAAACTTTTTACGGATGAGACTTTCGAATTTTAGAAACTCTCTGTTTAGAGACTCCAGAATTTTGACAATTTTAGAAGTCATCACTTTTTAAAGTTCGAGACGTTGAAAGATAGAACTGCAGTAGAAATAAATCTAAACATTTTTGCGATACCTATAGCTTAAACTTACTTTAAATCCGCCACGCAGGTTCGAATACCAATCTGTTTTATTATTTTCCTTTTTCCATGGTATATTCGGCATCTGACTCGTGTGGATATCAGGATGTACGCAGGTTTCACCCGCGTTCGTCATATTGCAGTAAACATACACAGCATCGTCGGCCATTCCCAAATTTGGATCGATCCAATACCAACCTATCGTATAAATTCCTCGATTAGACCAATAAATTCTCGAGCGAAGAACGCGCATACTAACCATCGGTAAAATGTGGATGCCCATAAAACAGATCCTTACAAGTTCTTACAGGATTTTCTCTACTCCCAATCGGTTTACGTATTCGATCCAGTTCTTGTCTCATGGCATAGATCGAGCTGTACATGTCCAAAAATTTAGGTCCAAATTCGTCCTCTTCATTTTTGTCCGAACTTTCAGCTTCCTCTTTCTCGTTTCTGAAATGTCTACTCTCACGATCACGTCGATTTACATGTACAATATTCGCATATTTTCTTACGTTTTCACATCTCGTTTCTTTCTCAAAATCTGTTCCCTCGTGAACAACAATTCTGGAGGAATCATCGGTTGTTCCGCCGGTGGTCCAGGAGGTCCTGGAGGTCCAGGAAGACCCGCTTCTCCTTTCGGCCCATCATTTCCAGCATTACCTTTAGGTCCCGATGGTCCCTCCATTCCTGGAAGACCTGGAGGGCCCTCGTTTCCTTTCATCCCAGTTAAGCCTACGGGTCCTTGATTACCCTTGGGTCCTTCGGGTCCTGTAGCACCTCGTGGTCCTTGTTCTCCTTTTTCGCCTTGTTCTCCTTTAAGTCCTATGTGGCCTAATTCGCCTCGATGTCCTTTGATACCCCTTTTACCCCTATCTCCTTTTTGACCTTTGGGTCCGACGGGTCCTGCTTTTCCAGGAACGCCAACAGCTCCTGTCATTCCAGGCGGGCCATTTTCTCCTGCGAGTCCTGGAAGTCCTCTCAGACCTGGTAAACCTGCTGGTCCTGGCAAACCTTGGTCTCCTATGCGACCTTGCGGTCCCGGAGCTCCTGGCAGACCTGTGTCTCCCTTTTCTCCGGGCATTCCAGGACTGCCCTGCAATCCTGCAGGACCCTCTGTTCCCTAAACGACGTATTAATTCCTATCATTAGTTCACGATTTTGCACGTTCTTTTGGAAGATACGGGAGAGTTTGTTGAAGTAACCGTATTAACTCTATACCTGTTTTCCAGGTGGGCCAGGAAGTCCTTCCTTTCCTGGAGGACCAATTTCTCCTGGCGGCCCAGGATCTCCAGGTTTACCATCTTCGCCATCTTTGCCGGGGTCTCCTTTTAAGCCAGCTAACCCAGGTTCTCCGGGAGGTCCAGGAAAACCAGGAGGTCCTGCGTTACCCTTGGGTCCTTCAGGACCGATTATTCCGCGGCTACCGGGTGGGCCAGGTGGTCCACTCTTTCCTTCCTCACCTTTTGGACCTGGAGGACCTCTTTCACCCTATAATATGCATTTCAACGTGAAGTCTTTAACTTTGTTTAGTCGGTAAGCAGAAAACTATTTTACCGATTTTCCTTCAGGACCACTTGAACCAGGCAGTCCCGGTATCCCAGCATCTCCTTTTTTCCCTTGACGTCCCTCCGGTCCTGGAGGGCCTTGTAATCCTTCGGATCCCTTAGGTCCTCTCGGTCCTTGTTCGCCTGGAGATCCTGCTGGACCCATAGGACCAACTGTACCGGTATCTCCGACTTCTCCTTTTAATCCAGCTGGTCCTGGCAGTCCTTGCGGCCCTATAGGACCGGGAGGACCCGATGCACCAATGGGACCATCTTCTCCTTTTGGTCCTTGTCTTCCGATTTCTCCGGGCGGTCCTTTTTCGCCGGGTAAACCGATAGCGCCAGGTTCACCTCGAATTCCTTGCAATCCAGGCGGACCGGGAGGACCCTAAAAAAAGTGGAATAATATAAAAGCGCGAAAAATATACTTTATTCGATTTAAATAATCTTTACCATTTCTCCTTGCGATCCTTTAAATCCTTTCTCGCCAGGTGGACCAATATCTCCTTTATCGCCGTCCTCCCCTGGAACTCCTACAGGACCAGGAGAACCCGGCAATCCGCGTTGTCCTGGTAAACCATCTCGTCCTGTAGGACCTGGTAGACCAGGTTCACCCTAGTAATTAAAAACATTTTTTCATTTGTTCACATTAATACGATTTGTTTGCGAACTGTCGTTACCCTATCGCCTTTTAAACCAAGTGGTCCTGGTGGTCCTTTCGGTCCTTGACTTCCCTGCGGTCCGGTCTCTCCATCCTTTCCAGGCTCTCCCTGCGCACCTTTATCACCGGCCGGACCAGGCGCACCAGTTAATCCAATTTCGCCTTTCGAACCTGGCATTCCCTTTATCAAAAGAAACTCTGATTTGTAAATGTTCGATTTCATAAATGAACGTAATTGTTAGGAACAGAACAAACCGGTAAACCACTCAATCCTCGTTCACCAGGAAATCCTGGCAAGCCACTCGGACCAGGTGGACCGTCCTTTCCTGGTAGACCAAGCGGTCCTGGTGGTCCTTCTTTCCCCTGTTCACCGGGAGGACCTGTCTCTCCAGGAATGCCTGGGTTTCCTGGGTTTCCAGGTTCTCCTGGTTGACCGGGTTCGCCAGCTGGACCTTGTGGTCCAATAACGCCGGGAGCACCCGGTGGTCCTTGAGGTCCTGAATCACCGGCTGGTCCGCGTTCTCCGGGTGGACCAGTAATTCCATCTTTCCCATCGAGACCTGCTTGACCTGGAGGTCCCACGAATCCACGTGGGCCTTCCACTCCTGGTGGACCAGGTTCTCCTTGCGATCCAGGAGGACCCGGTTGTCCTGTATCTCCCTTCGGTCCAGGCAATCCTTCGGCACCACGTCTTCCACGAGCTCCTCTGAAACCCTTTTCAACAAATTTAGTTACATAATTTATGACAGTATTGAGTTGGCCAAAAAGTTATGTCGTTATTAATCAACTTTTATTCTATTCGTATGTCAACATTTTCTTCTTTAACAAATGCATACATGATCTTCAAACATACATTTTATGACCATTCGAATATTTCCAATTATTTTAATTATTTGATGTATTTCCTTACGTACTCTAGGTCCTGGCTCACCACGTTCCCCTGGTGCACCGTTGTTTCCCTAAGATAAAAAAATAATAAATGACAATGATATCAAATTTCATATATAATTTTAATAGTGAACTTCCTCTTACCCGTTCTCCTTTGTCTCCAGCAAAACCTTCTCTTCCTGGCTGACCCTTGTCACCTTTCTCTCCAATATTTCCAGGATATCCAACGAAACCTGGAGGACCAGTTTTGCCTTTCTCACCAGGTGGACCAGTAGCGCCACGTTCACCTCGTGGTCCTTCGAAACCCTTCGGTCCTTCTAAACCTTCTAATCCAGGAATTCCTTGTGGACCCGACGAACCGGGTTCTCCCTTGGCTCCAGTGTCACCCTTTTCTCCTTCTGCACCCCTCTCGCCTTTATCGCCACGTTCACCAGGCGATCCACGTTTGCCTTCATCGCCTTTTACACCGCGAACTCCTGGAAAGCCTATTGGACCTTGTGGACCCTGCAGTCCTTGCTCTCCTTTCATTCCAGGAGCGCCAGGATTCCCCGGATGGCCAGGTGGTCCGTCTGCTCCTGGGAGACCAGGAATACCAGGTTTTCCTTGAGGTCCCTAAAAATGATCTCTGCAAATTTTCTTCGGAGGAACATTGCGAAGTTTGAAAACTTACGACTAAACCGGTTGGACCCAGAACTCCTTGGGGTCCAGGTGGACCCGCGGGCCCTGCCGGACCTGGTGGACCTGGTGAACCCGAAGAACCTGGAGGACCAGTATTACCTTTTGCTCCCGGTGGACCTTCGCTTCCAGGGATACCAGGATTTCCTGGTAATCCAGGAAAACCTCGAGGTCCTATGAATCCTCTAGGTCCCTAAAATAATCTCAAAATGAAACCTCACTGTTCAAAACATGATTCATTTTGCCAATAACTATTTATATTACCATTTCACCAGGTAAACCTGGCAGACCCGGAGGACCATCGTCGCCTTGCATCCCCTCGTGACCCGGTAAACCCGGTTCACCGGTTGCACCTGGAGGTCCCCTTTCACCTTTATCACCCGGTAGCCCAGGTAATCCAGGTACACCTTGTTCGCCTTTCATTCCAGGTGGCCCGCTTGAACCTCGTTCACCATCTCTCCCAGGTCGTCCTCGTCGACCTTCTCTACCAGTGTTACCAGGAATTCCTACATCATAAAGTTGTAAAATTATTTTGGTCGATATATCACCACAAACACATACATTGGGGTGAAGTAATGGTACCTCTTTCGCCACGAGGTCCAGGTTCACCCACTTCCCCAGGTTCTCCTTTCTGACCTTGAGGTCCCGGTGGTCCCTCAGGTCCTGAAATACCTGTCATACCCATAGGACCTTCGGCACCCCTCATAGCCATCATGTGCTGCGAAAGCATTTGCCTCAAAGCTTCCACCTGAGAATCTGGTCCTTTCTCGTTCCCTTGCTGATTCAACGTTGGTATCACGAAAACGTTACCCGGTGGACCAGGTATACCCTGCAATCCTCCCAGTCCATCCCTTCCTGGTTCTCCCTTCTTCCCCGGTGGTCCAGGTACACCTGGAGGACCCGGAAATCCTCGTGGCCCTGGTGGACCTCGAATACTGTAATACATAGAGTTATAATAGGACTCTTCGGGAGAATCCGTGGGTTTAAGGGTTTCTTGAGCTCCTATTAAGTTTTCGGAACTGTCAGGTGTTTCTGGCGTCGTTGTTTGATACTCTACGGTGTAAATGTTGGTCGCGACTTGCAAAATTGGTCTGGATGTCGTATTCACTAATCCATAAGTTAAATTGTATCGTTCATTATCCTCCACCGATGTGTCCACATTTTCTTCTTCACTTTCCTCTTCGTAATCTTCCGTCACCCTCCTCAAATCATTTGTTTGTTCGGTATAGGGCACAGTAAATCCAGGCACTCTAGAAGATATTCTATCGTAGTTTCTAGAGTAATTTATGTTATTGTAACTTGTTTGATAAAGCGATCTATTCAATGAGGCCTCTGCACCAGAAAATCTGGAATGTTGGTACGGTTGAGTAATACCAATTGTCGAAGTGTCGTAATACGTGGACGAGGTTGTACGCGTTACAGGACTGTAATTTCGCAGCTGATTTTGATAACCGCTCAACCGTGACCTGTACCTCGATTGATTTCTACAATCTGGAGCGAAGATCGTGCACATCTCGTAAGCCGCGTCTGGAATCGGAGCTATCTTCAACATTTCTAAGCTTCCCTACAAACCATTTCAATCGCATTCTGAAACGTGTTTAAAAATAATAAATACATATGGTGGAATCTTGCTATATGGCTATTTAGGACCAGTTAGACCAGAAGATCTAGAAATCCAATAATTTGTTTATATCGATCCTGACGTTACTGCATAAAAATAAATTTGTTTACATGGCTAGTCTCATAATTCCTCTCGCTCCAGTCCATTGCCATATATCAAGACTGCCCCACCATTTTCTACTAACCAAATACATATTCCCATCGACAAGCTGTTGGCCAATTATTATAATACCATCAACACTGATGGTCTCGTCGAGATTCCTCCGGAGTTCTTTAGAAATATGCCTGGTGCAATCGACGATAAGCGTGACCGTATCTCCCTTAATACTGACACCTAAGCGATGCCATTTTCCATCGGAGATGTCAACCCCGAACGAAATAGACTGATCGTCGTCGTCTGGCGTGGTACTATAGTAAAGAGTTACATCATTGCCCAACGATAGCACCAACTGTTCCTCACCGCTGTCACTGTAGATCGCAAACACCGTGGCAACAGGATATCCTAATTACAATGACAGAATAAATATCGTATTGCGAAGCGTCTTGATATCACGAAAAATTCGAACCGACCGTATCTTGGCCTGGCAACGACTAAAATGGAGAAATCTCGCGATATGCCGGTAGGAAATAAAGTATTCGTATTGATCGTCAATAGAGCACTTTCAGCGATGTCGTAAGCGACACTGTCATTTCTGTGGCAACGATTTTGGACTATCGTTACTCCGACAGGCTCTTGTCGCATCCCTGTACCTTCTATCAGGTCCACGATGTTCTTTTCTGCAATTGATCAGAAAATGACGATGATGAAAGTTCGTGATTTTGCAAGAAACGCGAGAAGTAATTAAATAACCACGGTGACGGCAAGATGAACAACTGGAAACCTAATAACCCCTGAACCCGACTGACATAACTCATTGTGTTACGGCGAACGGTTAAAACAGTTCTATTAACAAGTCCTCTTTTCCAGAGTAGAACACGCGGTTTTGCATGCTACGGGCAGCGGCTCAATTAATGTAATAGGGATCACTTAAAAAGACATCCAATAGTAAATGGACTTTTATTACATAGTCCATAAGTATGATTTCAACGAGTACTTGCAGAGGCTACAGTAAAATTGGGCATAACTCTGATACAGTTCTGCAAACACTATATATTTTAATATTAAGTGCAGAACTGCTTAGGAAATATTGGATAGACATTAATACAGAATTGCGCCCGGAAAATCCTTCATATTTGTCTGCTGAATAGAAACATATTTTATAGACGCTATTATTTATGCATACAAACATGGTACCATGATATATCATTTTTCGTATTTACTCATGGAAGAGTTTTTTACATTTGTTTGCATATCATCATATGACCCATCAGACATCTTTGAAAATATTGATAATACAAAAACCTATTTTATGCAAAAGCTACATGAATTTTAGTGATTATCAGGTGTAGCTTTCATCTACATAAAGGAGAGTAGCTTTTCTGACCGGAATCAAATATTTTTAAATATACCATTCTACTTGTTACTATCCATACTATCATTTTTATAAAACATTTTTTATATTGTCAATATTTTCGGAGATATTTAAACAGGATTTGAATGGGACATACGATATATGTATTTCATTTAAGTAAATTAAATAAATATTACTCATATGTTTGTAACTGCTAATATTAATGGTACTGCTAATTTTCTTCAAGTTAATAGATATGTTAATTATTTAAATCGCAATAAAATTACCCATATCTTTGAGAGTGATATCGGCCAATACCGGGTACAACCCCAGTGCCAGGAGAGAGCAGAGCACCCAAGAAACGGAGCCGATTGTAATTCTTCTCCATTGTTGCTTCACGTGGTCCCGCCGCATGCTACTCTTTCCTCGTCAAATCATGATTTTTCCAGCGAACTTCTTTAAATTATGTGCACCATAGAAAAAAAAGGAAGACGCACTGACAATGAACTCGCAGAGAACCGATGTGAATGAAGAAGCCCCGAAGAACGCTGCGAAACTTATCCGAATGTAATAGTCGTTTCGATGCAGTCACCATCCCCACGCGTTTCCTCCTTTTCTGCTTCAATCCCTCCTTTCTAATGTCATGTCTCCCCATCTTTCTTTCCTTGTAAACGCCGATGCAATATACACGCATTCCACACATGTGTCCTTTTAATGACAATCCCGTGTCTCCTCTATTGACACTGATTCGGATAACACGTGGCGCTCGAACAGGGTTGGGATCCAGATGCATTTTTGCTGAAGTCAATTTTGGTCAAATTTTCAGTCATTTCTGTCACCAAGTCTCGAAGTACCAAAATTCTCAAGTTCCAAGATTTAATATATCGAAACTCTGACATTCCAAACTCTCGAAGTTTTTGCAGAAGTCAATTTTGGTCGTAATATCAGTCATTTCTGTCATCGTATCTCGAAGTACCAAAATTCTCAAGTTTCAAGATCTAATATATCGAAACTCTGACATTCCAAAATCCCGAAGTTCCAAAAGTCCAAAATACTTAAATTCCCAAAGCTCTGAGTTCTGAAATTCGAAAATCCCGAAATCACAAAATTCCGATTTTCCTAGATTGCAAAAACCATTACCAAGTAAAGAATAAAACAACTTAGAAGTGCGGTATAAAATATGATTTGCTAATAAATTCTGGATTACTATTTTGCATTGTCCCTCGAGTAAATATCATCGTCATTTAACTGTGCAGGTTTTAATTAACTACTTCCTCGATACTTTTGATTAATTACTTCCCGACTTAATTTATTTCGCAGTTCTCCGTTCGCTATGAATGCATCTTAACATCCGTGTAACGATTAAAATGTATTCTATCGATATCAAAAATTCTTTGCGTATTTTTTTTTTATTATTTTTTCTATGTTGGAAATTAATACTTTATATGAAAGTAATTAACAGGTTAATTAATTGATAATTACATAAAAAGAAGACCTTTCCAATTTTTATAATTTTTAAATATATTGTAATATAAAATTAAAATTTTGCGTTTTTCCTTACAATTAGTTTTCTCGAATGAAGGAATATATTACAATATCGGTACAATAATATCAATTATAATATCATTGTAATCTGCCAAAAATGTGTTGCATTTCAAAGGCCATTAAATGTAGCCATTTAAGTATAGGTAGCTTGAATTAATGGAAGTAAATTTGAAATGTTACCCTAAAAATATACACTGAATTACCGATCGAGTAAAAAGAATATTACTATGAAAGAAAATGTTGAAAATAAAATTATAACGTGGATGTCGGTATGACAGAGATTTACTCGATCACCAACCAGCCTCCGTTACAGTTTGCTCATTTATCGAGATGTGATCAACGGTAAACAAGTTTTACTCCAGTAATAATATTTACAAAGAAGTTATATCGAGCACGTTCACAATATAAATAAAAACTACACGCATTTTGCATTTTAAGATTGTACCTAATTATTTAAATCGATTTACTAATGTACGAGCATCAACATAACCTTAAAAGATAGTAAAGAGTTGTCAACATAACCTCAAAAATATTTTCAACTCAACGTGTTTAAAGTGAAAATAATTCACGATGTCTAAGAAAAGGAAGGTAAAAGTGTACAGAGCAAAGAAGAAACAGCTACCTGAAGCAAAAGTAATCGCAGAATTACAATTGAAATATGACAGTGTACGGTTTTTTACTTTTCTTTCATAAATGTTTAGGTTTAATTCTTCCTCATGTGAATTATATTTTTACAGATTGATGAAACTAAAATTAAAAAATTTACGGATCTTCCATTATCAAAGAAAACACAAAAAGGTTTGGCAGAAAATAATTATGTTGATATGACAGATATTCAAAGGCAAAGCATCGGACTTGCATTACGTGGGAATGATATTTTAGGAGCTGCCAAAACTGGCAGTGGAAAAACCTTAGCTTTTCTTATTCCAGTAAAGAGAATTACTAAATATATTTAATATTATATGTAGATGTTTTATTATAGTAATGTAATTTTGTATTTAAGGTTCTAGAAATTTTGTATTGTAAACAATGGACAAGATTAGATGGACTTGGCGCACTCATTATCACACCAACTAGAGAACTTGCATATCAAATATATGAAACATTACGAAAAATTGGCCAATTTCATGATTTTTCTGCTGGTCTTATTATTGGTGGGAAAGATTTGAAATTCGAAAAGAAACGTGTGGATCAATGCAATATCATCATTTGTACCCCTGGTCGTTTATTACAACATATGGATGAAAATCCATTATTTGATTGTGTAAATATGCAGGTACATAAATACACAATATGTATATAAATTATTCACTTTGGTAAAGAAGTAGCAATATATTTATTTGTTTTTGAAATTATAGGTATTAGTATTAGATGAAGCTGATCGATGTTTAGATATGGGTTTTCAACAAACCATGAATTCTATCATTGAAAATTTACCTTCAAAGAGACAAACTCTTTTATTTTCTGCAACACAAACTAGGTATATATTGTTAAAAATTGTTGAAATAAAATTGTACGACTTCAAATTTTGTCCTTTTGCACATAGTTTATAGTCTCAGTTTTTTAGATCAGTGAAAGACTTGGCTAGATTGAGTTTGAAAGATCCCATGTATGTATCTGTACATGAACATGCCACACATACCACTCCTGAAGCTCTTCAACAAAGTTATATTATTTGTCCTTTAGAAGACAAATTATCAATGTTATGGTCATTCATTCGAAATCACTTGAAACAAAAAATCATTGTATTCTTCTCCAGTTGTAAACAGGTACAATAGCTTCTAACATAATTAATTTTTATTTGCTAAGAAAAGTGTCGATGTTACGTGTTTTTTTAGGTAAAATATATGTATGAAGTGTTTTGTCGACTAAGACCCGGTGTAAGTTTATTGGCTCTTTATGGTACTTTACATCAACTTAGAAGAATGGAAATATACGAAACATTTTGCAAAAAACAGTTCGCAGTTTTATTTGCTACAGATATTGCTGCTCGAGGATTAGGTAGAAAAATAATAACTGTTCATATAACAGTTGAGAAAGCTTGTGTTTTATAATTAATAAAAATGAATTTTAGATTTTCCTGCTGTAAATTGGGTTGTACAAATGGATTGTCCCGAAGATGTAAATGCATATATACATCGTGCTGGTAGAACAGCTAGATTTCAAAGCGGTGGTGAATCGCTACTAGTGTTACTTTCGTCTGAAATAAAAATGGTTGAAAAACTGAAAGAACGTAAAATTCCAATATCTATGATAAAGTAAGGAGCATTATTTTTTATGTAATATGAATTATTTAATAATCTATTTAATAAATACATTGATTTAGGATTAATCCAAATAAATTGCAATCGCCACAACGTAAAATAGAAGCATTGTTAGCACGAGATGTATCACTAAAAGAAAGTGCACAAAGAGCATTTATAGCTTATGTAAAATCAGTGTTTCTAATGAAAGATAAAGAAATTTTTAATGTTCGTGCATTAAATACTGATTCGTTTGCAAGGTAGGGCATATACAACATATGCATATATGTAGATAATAATAGTATGATAATAAATCATTTTTCGATTGGTGTATGCTTAGATCTTTAGGTTTAGCTATACCTCCAAGAATTAGATTTCTGCAAAGAATGGAACAGAAACAACAATCATCTACCAAAAATACTATAAGTGATCAGAATGATGAAAATAGTGAATCAGATAATAGTAAAAAGCAAGTGAATTCTAATTATAGTGATGATGATGACTACAAGGAGAAAAAGGAAGTCATATCAGAACAAAATACAAATAAATTTACGTTTGGTATAAATATACATATTAAATATAAAAGTATATACTTCTAGTGTGCAATTACATTTCTAATATATTATTTTTGTACATAGATGACAGTGACAATGATGACATACTTACTATAAAAAGAAAGAATGTAGACATTGATGATATAGTGATTAATGATAAGGATAATGAAGATGAATATTCAAATAAAAAGAAAGTGGTTACAAAAGCAGCAGTTGCTAAAAAAATCTTAAGGAAAAAAATAATACCTAACAAGAAAACTACTTTTGACGATGAAGGAAAGGTTTGTTTATATTATATACATAAAAATTTGATATAATATGTTATATAATACAATACTAAAACATAATTATACTACTTTATCTTTCAGGAGCTATTAGATCCTACTAAAGTTAAGATTTCAGAATTAGCTAAGCAATATGAAAATGATGTAGATTCCGGCATTAACATAGAAATAGCTAAACAAATATTGCGTGAAGAAGACCGAATCGATAAGCAACGTTTTAAAGAGAAAGTAAAAGAAAAGCATAGAGAAGAAAAACGGAAGTTAAAGGCCAGCAAAAAGAAAATAGAAAATAAAAATAGCGACGAGGACGAAGTGCAGGAAAGTGCAAATGATGATGACAATAGTGACAGCGAATATAGTGCACCAGATTTATCATGGTTACCAGACCCAGACAAAATTTATGGTAAACAACAAGACGAGGAAACAAATTGTGATATTGCAGATTCAGAGGAAAGTGAAAAGGAAACTAAGATACATAGGTACGTTTTATAATCATAAATATTAAACGCGTCACATCTAAAAAAAATATACTTGTTTTATTTTTAATATCATTTTTATCTTTGGTAATCACATACTTATCGTTTACAGGCCTCCTAAAAGGAAACTTATGACACAGAAGGAACACAAGAAAAAGAAACAAAAAATATCTCTCGAAATCGAAAACACAAATTTAAAAACTGATGAGGAATTAGCATTACAACTTTTACAAAACTGAATCACTTGTTACAGAATAAAATTTTAATCCCTTTTTTATATACTTTACAATGTTGTTAATAATATTTAACATTGGATACTTAAATTGTTCGTGTATATCAGCTGTTTCATGTCCAAAATTAGAGGATTTAATAATAAAATACATTACATTCATTACTAAATTTTAGCATAATCAAATTTGTCATCAAGTTTGATGAATTCCTATAGTTACAGAGATTTAATAAATATATTTAAATATAAATATGTATATAGTACAAGAAAGTGTTTTTAATGAGATGTAAGTTAAATAGTACTTTACATCTCAAATTCGTCCCATAAGGTAGTTATAATACTTCATCAGCTATCTACATTAAGTTTGATGCTTACAATGCATATTTTATAGAAGTTAAATTTTAATAATCCAATATACAATCTTGTTTTACTAAATAAAATGTTAACATATTACTGAAAAAAAATTTGTCATTTTAGTTCAAAACTATTTAATACAATTTTGTGCGGTTCATGCAATTTTAGAGAATTTTTTTTAAACTGAAAAATATAATTACAATTAAAAATTATGATGTAATACTTTAATAAACAACTAAATATTTTTTCTAGAAAGTAAAGTTCTATAATATACATATGTGCATGAGTATGTAGATGTTTCTACAGAAATTACACAACAAAATTCATCAGTCTTACATTGATGCTGTTTTAATGTGTTTCATGATAGTATTAACAACTTCTCTGCTTGTAGCTTGTCCACCAAGATCACGAGTGTGTACACCTTGATTGATAGTTTTATTAATTGCATCTTGAATTAAAGTAGCATGACGTTTGTGTCCAAGATGACGTAACATGTCAACAGCAGCATTTAACATTGCAATAGGATTGGCAATATTTTTTCCAGCAATAGCTGTACCAGTATTACGAGTACCTGGTTCAAATACTGTATAATGATCACCAAAGTTTTTACCTGCTAACAATCCAGCACCACCCAACAAACCACATACTACATTTGACACAATTGCTCCATACAAATTAGTTGTTAAGACGATGTCAAATTGATGTGGATTCGAAACCAATTGCATACAGGTATTATCAATAATCATATTATTGTGTTCAATGTCTGGATAATCCTTTGCAACTTTCTTGGATGTTTCTAAAAATAATCCATCAGAAAGTTTCATTATATTTGCTTTATGAACTGTAGTAATCTTTTTTCGTCCATGCCTTTTAGCATATTCAAATGCATATCTTGCAAGTCGTTCAGAATTTGCACTTGTAATAACTTTCATGCTTTCTACAACACCTTTTACACTTTCATGTTCTAACATAGCATATTCTCCTTCTGTATTTTGCCTTATAATAACAATATCAATATTCTTGTGACGTGAATTTACTCCTGGATATGATACACAATGTAAAACATTAACATAAAGATCCAACTGATTTCGAAGTGCAACGTTCCTAGAAAGCACACCAGCTTCTGTGCTACGAGTTTCTATGTTCCCTTTTAATGCTACACCATTTCTACGTATTGATGTGATAGCATAATCCAAATCTTCATTATCATCTGCGTTAGGATCAATATCTACATCTTCAAAGTCAACTGGTACACCTGCATAACTAAAAACCTATAATAAACATATAAAATATTATGTAAGTTGTTTAAATGTAACAGTTTGAAGGTTGACCAATAACATACATGAAGGTCATTTTTTTTTATTATTTATCTTTATACCTCTTTTACATAGGTCATTAATTCTGGACCAATTCCAGCACCAGGTAACATAGTAACTGTATGTCGTCCGCCGTAATGGGCTTTTGGGATAGGCATTACTTTTTTAATAGTTGGAGTTTTATGTTGTATTTCAAACGCAGATAACGTTGCGCATCTGTGTATTTGCGTTATAACAGGTTTTGCACGTAAATATTTAACAACTGATCGGGCAGCCATTTCGAATATTATTCTATAAAATTACACATGAAGTATAGTTAAATTCTAATATTACATCATTTAGTATAGATAAATTAACATATAAATTTTCTTACATACTTCTGTTTTATAAATTCTATTTTAACAATACCTTGAAAGTCCTTGGCAACTCCGAATTTTCAGCGCCGTTTAAACTATGATCTTTATAGGATGGAAAATCAACGTTAGAATTTTAAACAATAACGCCACCTATAATAATACTATTTTATATTATGACATATTTATTCCTTCAACGTAAGATCATACGCATCACCTAATGGTTTTTTATATGGCCTGCGCATGTCAGCCATGATTGGTTCGAATACGATTCGTAACCAAGAGCAACACACATGCGTTCTTACGAGATGGTGTTATCAAACGCATATATCCGGTGATATTTTGTTTTGTATACTTCTTATGTTATCTCCTCTTACGGGATGTAAGAATATATGCATAGATATTAAATATATAAGGATGCAACATATTCTAAAGCATATTCAAATGTTCGAGTTCGATTAATTATCGTAAAATTTAAACTAAAAATTGAAGACTTTTTTATAAATTTGATAAATGAGATCGGTATCAACTATTATGGACCTCTTATACAGTAACTTTGCTCTTCTTGCTTATAATCTAAACTTATCCCAAAAAGTAGAATACTTCTTGTTTATAACTCACACATTTTATTCTATATCGATACCTCTTCTCTCTGTTCGTATATTTTGTCCATCTTGTATATAACCGACAGGTGGAAAGCGTGATACCGCTAGTTGGTGGGAAATCTTCTGAAGTTAGCCATGTTGCGCGAATCGAGAATGATTTTCCGTTATTACAATAATGATTTTATATAAATTTCTCTTTATAATCTTAATAATTAAATATTATTATATATTGAACATAATTTTTTATGTCATATTTCAATATGACTTTTAACGCTGTAATTTTAAGTGTATTATGAGAAATTATTTTATATTAAAACATCTATTGTTTATAAAATAAATGATTCTTAAAAACGCTTGGTTTATATATTCATTATTGAAATTTCGTATATCAATATATTTACAGTTTTTAAATAATTAATGGATAAAATAATGATAAACAAGTTATGATTTTTAAAAAAGAATGTAACGTACACAAACATTTTGAATTGATAGGTCATGATGTTAAGAAAAAAAAAAATGATATTCGTAATAAGTACATATTGTATTCAAACATCATTTTTAGTGATGGGAATATACAAATAATAATTAAGTAGTATTTTTATAAATATATAAGTAATTTTACTTATTTTTCGGGCCAGAAATTTGTTGATATTAGAAAATAATAAACCTGTATATAGAATTTATTTCAAACTAAATGTTGGTCACACTGCTACTTTTCGCGGTAATGCTATAACAAGACGCCAAATCGTCAGAAAGCCCGCCGCGTCGTTCTTATGTGCATCTCGTGTAACTCGCAGTTATCTCCTAAGTAAACGTATAACCGTAAGTATAATTACCACTAGGCATTTACAAATAGAATTATAACAAAAATTAATATCAATTAATATTATTTTCTGTAAAATATCGATTTAAGTTCAATAAATGAAGTCTAAGCTTTTTCCGGCTGGAATACCGCCATTTTGCATCATGTTCATTTCTCTTAATATCTTTAAAGTTTTATATTTCTTTTAACTATTATTTTTACAGTTATTTTATACTATAATAATTTTACTTTGTAAATCTTCTGTTTAGTAAGTGTATTGCCAAAATTTGACCAATCACCATGTTAAGTGAATAAATTTTTACTTGTAATGAATTTCTTTTTTTGTTTATGTTATAATTATCATTTTAACTTTTCTCCATTGTATGACAGAATATATTTGCAGTATTACTTGAAACAAAATGAGCAAAGGAAAGGAATCATCCCCTTCTGGAACTGAAGCACAAGAATTCAGTGTTGAAAAAGTTTTAGACAGAAGGGTAGTTAAAGGAAAAGTATGTAATTTAAACAATTTTTGTTAATATATGCATTACTATAATTATTTACTGACATCTGTTGGTATTAATAAATGTTGCGTTATTCAGGTTGAATATTTTTTGAAATGGAAAGGATATTCTAATAATGATAATACATGGGAACCAGAAGAAAATCTAGATTGTCCAGATTTAATTGCACAGTTTGAAGAGCAGCGAAAAAAGAAAGAAGCAGCTGCAGCTAAACGACTTGAAGATAAAGAACAAAAGAAGCGAAAAAGTTCAAGTACTCCTACTCCTACCCAAGCTAAGAAAAAAGCAACAGAAGAAAAACCAGAAGGTAATTTTTATTATTTTAGTCTTAAATTTATACAATTATATTTAATAGTCCCTTAATTAATATATTTTATTTTATGTAGGCTTCGACAGAAATTTAGAACCGGAACGAATTATTGGTGCAACAGACTCAAGTGGAGAATTGATGTTTTTAATGAAGTGGAAAGGAACAGACGATGCAGATTTAGTACCTGCTCGAATTGCCAATGAAAAGTGTCCACAGATTGTAATAAAGTTTTATGAAGAACGATTAACATGGCATAGTCCTACTCATGATGAGGAAGGTTCAACAAAAGCTGATGCAGAGTAGCGTCCAGCCTTCCAATATACTTACACAGCACGCTTTAGAATTTGTCGCATATAACAAAAGAGTAGCGTGTACAGAATGCAAGATTTAAAAGTTTATTGGTTATTGCACAATGATGATAGCATAGAGTTAATGTTTTTTTTACAACCCCATGGCACACTACATTTGAACAAATATGCAAAATTTATTTTATACTTTTCTGTACTATTAAGTAAAAAAGAGCTACTTATGATGTACTTTTGTGAAACTTATACTCACATGTTCTTTTACAGTTGTTACTTCTGACATAAGAATTAGTAAGAGAATGTTTCTATTAAATTTAATATACAATATAAATTTAAAAGCTGAATCTTGATGTGTCTCTTCAGCATATAATATACAGTTTGTATGGTAGATGTAACTTATTTCTTAATATAATTTTATTTACTTTGTTATATCAATTAGTTAATTAAATTTACAACTGCTCTTTCAGTATTTGACTTTGACTATGCTTTGTTTCAGTTGCTAAAAAAGTAAAAGAAAAGAAAAACATTAACTAATTTTAAATCTATGAAAATGTCTTTTATAATAACTTCTAGAATATTTGTTTTTGTATGATATGAAATTTGTACCAAAATTGATAAGTTGACAAATTTTAGAAGTATTAAGTAGTCCGACAGCAACTGAAATTCTTTTCTCTTGCAGCATTCAATATCGGTATAATAATTGTTTATGTCATAAATTAATCTTTCAGATAACAGTTAACTTGACTACCTAAAATCAATTATTTTAGTGTCTAAGAATTCGCAGATAAGTGTATAATTCATGTTCATTACTTTGTATGAAGTATCAATTAAAGGACTATTTCTTTTTTATAATGTATGAAATTCTTTTATTGATTTATATACAATCAAGTTTTTTTAAATTGTTCAAATAATTACATTTTATAATTATTTTTTACTTCTTTTTACATTTTTCCTGATCATTTTTGGACCTTTTCGTTTATTCCGATCGTATAAGCCTTTAAGTTTATGATGCCGTTTCGTTTCCCATTCTATTTGTTTAGTGCTAGCACCATCCGCAGTATTAAATACATCTGTACCACCATGCTTTTTATTGTTTTTGCTGTGTTCTTCAAGCATTTCCGCGAATTTCTCCGCCGAGACAAATATATTACTATCAATTCCTTTGGAATTTTTACTCTTATTTTTTCCCTGGTATTTTTTGTTTGCAGGTTTCTTCATATTTGACTGTATATTATCATTTAACATGTCATCGTCGTCATCATCATCAAAGTCGAGATCACTTACGTCCTCATCACCTATATCTAAGTCGCTATCATTTGCATGTTGTAAATCGTAATTTGTGTCATCATCCTCATCTAATTCTTCCTCGTCAAAATTTATGTCATCAGAATTATTACTTGCCTCACTTCTAACACTATCATCTTCCAAATCATCTTCATCTTCAATATCTATATGCAAGCATGACGATAAAGATTATTGAAATAATATCCATGTTAAAAAAAAATATATTAACATACCTTTATTTTTGATTTTCTTAGTTTGGATGTCACCTATAATATCTAAGTCTTCGACATCTTTACCATCTGTTAATGTATCTAACATATCATTAAATTCTTCACTATTGACACTTTCTATATCATCGTCTATTTCTTTAGATGGTCGCTTATATTCCTTTCGTTTCCTTAAATATCGATATAAATATAATTCATCGACTGGAATACGTTCTTCCCTTTCATTAAGATATGAAACACTATCAATAGGGATACACCTAATGCCTTTAGGTGTATATCCTGCACGCTGTGCTAAGGGATCATTCTTTTTTTGTACTTTTTTGCTATCCAATTTCTTTGGATTTTTAAAAACATAACGATCCAAAAAACGCATTAATGATAAATCTTCCAATGGGTCGCCCGTATAAACAATTGGTTTTGCTACAAATAATACATTCAACATTTTCAATAAAATATTTAATAAAACAATATCCAAAATATTTATAAAATATATATATAGTACCTTCTATAATAGTATTTGCAAATAAAACCACGCTTGGATGATAATGCTTAGATAATGCTATTAGTTCAGTGTTCAAACCTTTAGTTATTCCAGCATAAAGAGGATTACGGCAAAATGGATCATATTCTTTTTGTTTATCAACTTCGATTTTTACGTCTTTTTCCATTTTATTTTCAGATTTAGTACTTCCATTTGTATCAACTTCAGTTGTAACATTTGTTAATAGAATAGATTCTTCTAATATTTCAACCTTAGAATTATCAGATACAACATCATTTTCTGAATTCGATACCTTATCTTCAATTTCAGATTTAATATAAATTTGTGAATTTAACAACAAACTTTTCAATTCCTTTTTTCCATGTAAAATTTTAGATATTATATACAAAATCGCGCATAACATATTTGCAGGAAAATATAATGCGACTTGTAAACTTCTTTTAATAAATGCATACAAACGTTGTATATTATTATCATTTTGAAGAACTCTATAAAATAAGTTAAGAAATAGTGCACGTTTATTTGCTACGCCTATTTGTGGATCTAGTAATTTTCTATAAAAAGTTGAATAAAATCTGCTTGATTGGGTTTCATCTTTTCCTGTAATCTGCACAAATAATATAAAAATATAATTAATTTAAAAATATTTTATTGAAAACATATTATACTATTCAAATACTTACCTGGTATAATAAGTTAAGAGCATTTAAAGAAACATTAAAAGTTCCAATATGTACAACTTTGTACACAGAATCTATGTGATTATGTAATACGTTTGAATCCATTTTTGCAAATGGAAATGCTCTGTTTACCCCAGTTAAAATTGCTGCCATCATTCTACTATCTGGTTCTCCTTTTTTCAAACAAGCTTTAAAAAATGCGAAATATACTTCTATGAGAGTAGAAGCAATTTTTTCATCATCTTTACTTAAAATAAATTGTGTTAATAAACAAATTGCATAGTATTGTGCACGTTGTGCCACATTTTTTCGAAACAATATTTTTTCAATTTCAACTAATACGACAGGTTTCATGTTTGGATGTTCATGTAATAACTTGTTTAAACAGAATATAACTTTGGATCCTACTTTACTGCTTGGATCTCCTATTTTATTAACAATCAACTCCAATAGTTTATGTTCTTGTTCAGCATTTCCTATTAATAAATCTGTCATTACTGATATTGCTATTTCACGATTTGCATCAACAGTATCTGATGCAATGGTACCCAAAGATATAACGAAGCGTTCATAATGTTCTCGTAATTGGTCTTCAAAATACCAGTGAGCCATTAATTTTTTTTTCAATGCATCTGTTTTGATTAGTGTATCTTCAGAGTTGGTCTCAGTTAATCTATTTAAGTCTTGTTCTTCAAATTTAAGCAATTTAAATTGAGGATGAAGCAAATCTGATAAAAACAAATCTCTTAAAGATGTTATTATCATATTGCATTGATTATGTTTTGCTATTCGTACTTGATTTATAAGCATTGTGAGTCTACTTAAATTGTATTTTGGGTTGTCCTGCACTAATACAATAGCAGCTGCTATTTTGTCTGATGTTGTTCCCTGTGATAATGCTGTTTTTAACCATGTTGTTTCTGAATTAGAAGATTTTGATTCTTTTAATTGAAAAATAGAAGTTTCTCCATCTAAATATCTTTTGGCTGTAGCTTTTAATTCTGATACTTCTGCTTCAGGCTTAGAGTGTTTACATGGCTCTTCGGTTTTGGGATATTCTTCATACCACTTCAAAGTTTGATTGATCACTTTTTTAAATTGCTTCTCCATTTCATTGAAAGTTTTAAGAGTGCTGTCAAAATTTAAAGATTATTTGAAAATTATACTTTTGCAAAAAATATATGTATCTTTACCTCGTGGTTAACCTACATGTCATAAATACAACATTGATTGGTTGAGCACTCTTTATCACCAAAACACAGAATAGACCAGAGGCGACACTGTGAATGTGCAGGTTTAAATTAAACCGGAAATAATACCTTACCGCCATCTAGCGGTAGAAGTAGGGAACTAATTAAACTACAGTTTCAAAAGTGTGTAGTTCAGGCTGTTCGCCGGAGAGATGGCGCCACTTGTTCCATTAAAAAAAAACTTAATTAACACTGTTTTTATTGACTTAATTAATTATAATATTCATTAAATTACATCGCAGAGTGAAAATAATTAACTACAGAATATTTTTAATTTTATCCAGCTGCTATCAGTATTAAATCATTAAAGGGCGTAGGGGACTTCCGAATATCGTCATGTTCCGGTTCTGGTCAAATTTTTCAAAAATGTTCCTTTTTTCAAAAGGAAATATTTGTGAGGACAATTTTTAGCAACTCGAACGAAATTTTTACCATTCCAATGTTTACGCAATAATTCCGTTATAAATATTAATTTGAATGTAAAAAATTGTAAATAATGTTAACTTACCTTTCGATGTAGTTCTTCGAATCACCCCCCTGAAACGTAAAGCACGCAACAAAATAGCTTACTGTTAATAAATAAATACATCGAATTCAAGTTGCTTAAGTTTTTTAAATCGAAAACAAGCGTATTCGAATTGTAGCCTTTATTAACACTGCGAAAGGTGAAGCAATAAATACAGTATCAGGATAATATTAGCGCTATTTTGTACAGTGGTGTGCACCTTAAGCTTCCCTTAGTTAAGAGAGTGCAGAGGAAGAACTATATTTAAGATTCGTTCTAGACTTTCCCTAAGTGTTCTCTATACTCTTTCTTTCCCTGCATTCCTGCTAGATCCTTGTATTCGTCTTTGGTTCATATCAGGTTTTTTCTTAAAATCTTTCAAAATTCTTTTTACGTTACCCTTAGGCTCTCCCTATGTTCTCCTAAAGCAATGTCATCCCCTACGTCTATCCATAGCCAAGGGAAGCCTACAATGCACTCGAGTGTACAAGTAACAACACATGTACATAACAGTCATATTTAATGAAACATGTAAATCCATTAAATACATTTTCTTTCTCAACGTTCGTCGACAAGATTTCGTAGTTGGTCACATTTATGCATTACGATCGTTCGAAGAGTATTCCGATGATAGCGTATAGTAACCGTAGGAGTATAGTCTGGTCGCAAATTCCGTCGATCTTCATATAACAGAAAATTTTGTTCTTGTCTGATTCGAAAGATTCAGTGCTGATAAGTTCAAACGAACGTTTATTACTATTTTAGTAATTTGACAAAATGGTAATTTGAAAATTAAGGTAACTCGGTAATTAAGGTAATTAAATTAGAAATTTAGTAATTTGGGAACTTGAAGATTTAACAATATAAAAATTTATAAAACCAAGAAATAGAATTCTAAATTTTTATTACAAGGAATGAAGAAAGCGAAGTTTGATATGCAGCGCATTATAAATGATCGTTATTTCATCATCGAAAAGTAGATATTAGTTTAATTTACAGGTTGCTAACATTTGCGACCACCTATACTTTCACAGTTACTACACCGGAAATATTACTTACATTCCAGTAATCTATATCTATACGATATTTTACTATACAAGTCGCATCGTTATTAAAAGTATATGATGAATTCTTTTTTATACACACAATTATTGCATACATGTATATATTATATATATATTCGTACAATATATATTATATTACAGTCATCCGATGAGCCTTTGACCCGCAAAGGCAAATAAATACACGTATTATAGTTTATTTAGAAACGTTTCTCTGATGTCGCTTCAAACGAAATGGCGGGATAAGTGGTAGCTTTAATGGCGGGAAATTTGAATTCTCGAAAATACGAGAAACTATTATTCGGTCAGAAAAATGACAAATTGTCATTTTCGCATTTCTGATTTAATTTATTTGGAACTTAACCTGCACACGAGTTCATATGTACGAAATATTATTATTGCCGTTGGTAGCTTGTAAATAATATAAGACGAGTATTGGAAAGATTGGTGAGTTGAATCTTCGCAAACGAATCCATCGATTTCAGTCATCAGTTTTAATTACATAAAGGTTGGAATTTTTAAATACTCTTCGAGTATTCGTAGTTTACTTGATGAAATACACGTCTCTCTTCGTATTTAAAATAGAAACATATTTATTAAAATGAGTTGAAAGACAGAGATCAGAATATTAATAAATGCAGAAACAAAGATGAGAGATGTAAGGATAAAGTATAAAGCATTTTTCAAATTTATCGATTATTTCAAACTTATCTTTGCTACAAAAAATAATGTCGAATCAACAATTTTTTAAATTGAGAACTTATACTCTATTTTGTAAATTAATATCAGACTATTTCACGTTTACACGCAATACGAAAATATTCTGTATAACATGTTTATGGTGAATACGAAAATTTGCAAAGTTTTCAATTAATTATAATTAAAGCAGATATAAATGCATATTTGTTAATGAAACGCTTCAAAGAAACAAAAGAGACAAACTGAGTCACGTTTCATAACGACCTCATTATATACTCTTTTATCATAAAAAACAATTTCCTCTTACAGAACATCGCGTAACATTTATTGTACAATAAACTGTTCGATCGCATGTATTGTGAAATTGGAATTTCAGCTTCGAATTCTTGCTTAACTTGCTTAAGCGCTGATATTAAATATTCTGCATTAAACATAGAGCTTCAACGAACATCACATTTATGTTGTTGAAAGCTACATCCATAGGAATGTTCAGATCTATTCGTAAATATGTCTGACGGATTGGTATTTAATTGCTCGCGGTGTATAACGCATATTAATTTCGATGTGCTCGTTCTGATTTTACCGAAACTTCGTGTTTGTGAATCGGATTTACGTTTCTGTCCGATTCAACGGACATTTTTAGTCATTTTATTTATGAAGACTCAAGCTTACGACAATAATTTTATTTACAAATTATTTTGTTGCATTCGCAGACAGAATGAATGTATTTCAAATTTAAATAATTATTTAAATTATTTAGAAATGAAGTTTAAAGAATTACAAATTTTTTAATGTACAAGATAATATTTTTATCGCATGGTTCGATCAATGACGAATCAAAGTTTCTGTAAAGTCAGAAAGAGTTTCGGAATTTGTATGAGAAATAAAATGTTTATAAAGGAAAGTTGCCAAAAAATTATAAATATTTTTAATCTAAAAAGACTGTGACTTCAAAATGATATAATTTGCTTCTCAAAAAGTTAGTAATATAAACTTGCAAATTGAAAACCTTAAATTGAGAAATTTTTTAATTCCGTTTTTTTTTGTTTGTTCATTTTAACCTCGTTACATTGTGCCAGAGGTTATACAATCGTTCAACGTAAACGAACCAATTATGGTAACCCTCCCATATTGAAGCTGTAATATTTTAATGCAATTGCCATAAACCTAATATAAACAGTAAAAAACGTAGCATAAAAAGTGTGTAGTATAGAAACATGGCGCAGTCGTAAATTTCAGCAAGTTAAAAAGATCAGTGGTGTCAATCAATATAATGTTCAGTATCTAAATTGCATCTATAGGGTTCTAAACAATAAAAGAAATTGACAATAAAATCAGTAATATTTGGAATAATTTTATGTAAATTTTTGTCAACGAAAGAAAAGAAAATAAACAAATATAATTATCGTCATCAGTTCTGGACGTTTGTTCAAGCTCGGTATTTCTTATTTTTCCTGATAATCACTAAAACTAACAATACAATTAAACCTCAATTAAACTAGGTACGTGACTTTTACAGATCAATGAGATTTACGACCACGCTATATCTCTGCAGTTACTACATCCTTAAATCTGTTATATTTATTTCGTATTAATATCCTTTATAAATCTTAATACAGGAATGGTAATAAAACGAAACATCTCAATCTAACGTTTAAAACAAACAAAAAATGATTATAAATTACTAGGTTTCCCGATATAGTTTATAACATAAAGGAGATTGTCAGTCATCGATAAAATTCAAGTGTTAGGTCACGGTTAATCTTTGAACAAATGCTTAAACGAAGAACCGTCAATTAATCTTGCTAGAAATACATTAGGATTCCCATACTACTTAACAAACAGATCTTTCAAGGTAGAACAAATCGAAGGCTCGCAGGATTCATTTTGCTCTTGGTCTTTATTACTGCCAGTAAACCAGCTCGTTACCTTACTAGATTTCGGTTTATTCGGTGATATCGAAGCTTTACTTGACGAACCAGATGCCTCTGCGTCGCCCCCTTTTTGCGTTAAAATCTTTTCGATTGCACTGCCTAACACCTGCAACAATACAATTGTTTCAATAAAAAACATTTTCTGATTACAAGATTCTGGGTGAACACTTCTTTACTGTAAATTCTTCTGATCTAATTTAGGACGTATTTAGGCTAATCTAGGGTAAGCTTGATAAGAAAAATTAGAGAAAGTGAGGATTGGATAATTTTAAAGTTAACACATTTAATTTCTTAAATGCAGTCAAAGCTTTGAATATAATATATTACTAGTAATATAACATACGGGGTGTTTTAAAGAAACTCCCTCTTCGATTTGAGCATTTGCTAACACGAATGTGCGAAGAACTTTAAAGAATATGCTCAATATATCAATAAACATCTTGATCAAAATTAAATACATATACACTACCGTCCATGTATGTGTAACAGCCAATTGAAATGGGAGTGCAATTTTTGCACCCTCTATATTACTAATCAGAATTAGACCCACCCTAACTCAAGTGCATGAATGACAGTATGTTCGTTCCTCGTTCCTTCGTATCGTTACGACAAACGAATACCAAAATGTCCGCTCACCTGAGCATCCACCTTGGTACCGCTGCTATCATCCCAGACCACTTTGTGTCTAATTTCGCTGGTAGGCGACGTTTTCCCGAGGGTTTCCTTGACTGCTTTCACGACCTTCGATTTATCGAACTTAAAGTTCAGACTGGCCGTGATCAGGTCCTCCGGCTTCTGTTTCTTCGACTTAGGCTGATGCCTCTTTGTGAACCAATTGGACGGCGCCATAATGGAGGTCGCGGTCGCCTTCGAGGATCCGGCTAGTTTACTTTTAGCTCCGTGAAGTATCGACACGTCGAAGCTGTTCGAACGGAAGCTTTTTAATCGACTTCGTTTCTGTTCCGTCGTTTTGCCGGACCAGCTTGATTTGCTGTCCTCTCGCGAGCTCGTTTCTTCGCCGCATCGGTTGATTTCCGTCGCGGACGATGCCAACGAGCTCAGAATCGATATCAGATCCGTGTTCGAGCAAACGATTCCCGCTGCTCCGGATACGGAAGCGCTCAACGCCCTTGGAACTTCCGAAGCTCGTCTGCGGAGCGAAGAAGTCGGTGACACCGAGGGTGGAGGCAATTCAGAGAATCGTCTCTTTTGATATTGAGTGTAACGCTGAGTGGAGGAGCTATTACCCTCCAATGGCTGTATCTCGCACACTTGTTCTGTCGAAGTCTTGTACATCTTCAGTCGTACCTGAAAGTTTATGCTCCGTTTGAGTTACACTGAACCGATATTGGGAACAGGGTGTTCGACGCTGCTGGTACAGCAGCTTAATACGAAATACGTTTCTTTGACAAATCGAAACTATCCACTGGGAATATTTTTATTAAAGAGTATCGCAGGATGAGGACCTCGAACATTGTGATGCACCGTAGCAAACTCAATCAACTGCTGAAGATCAACTCTAGATGAAGGTTCGAAATTAAAGACAGTAACAATTTTGTAAAACTTTCGGATAAATCGAAGGATATTTCAGACACGAGTACGTGAGAGTTCTTGCACACTTTTTCGTTGCGTCTAAAATTTGAAACCACTGTTATTCTTACTTTTCTCGCTTTTATTTCCGTGATATCATCCAGGATGTCCAACTGAAGATTATGCGAACTGCCGCTGTTACTGGGTGGTCCAGATATTCCGGATTTCGAGTCCCTCCGACTGGGCAGTATTCTGGTCGCGCCCCCCAAGGGAAAAGCTGCGATTGATTCGCGTCGATCACGGCCGAATAAGGTCGGTGGCACCTTGGAAATCGTAACAACCGAGTGTCTTCGTCCACCTGGTTGAGGGGCTGGTGCTTGAGACAGCGTCGCGAAAAACGTTGCTTCTCTTGGAGACAGTGCTGTTCCTTCTCCGCCACGTTCGCTTAATCGTCTCACCTAATCAGGAGAATGTGTGTGCTTAGAACGGTGATTATGATGGAGGTGTTGAAATTTTACAAAAATTAGAACTCTTAAGTGTATTTAGATATTTGGATTATAGATTATATTATATTGGTTACATTTGAATATTTTGTCTTGTTACATGGAAGAGTTTTTGAAAAATATTTTTTAATCGAATTTATAGTGAGACTAATCGCTGTGGCTGGAAAAAGCTAAGACACGTTCATATTGATAATTGTATAAATTCAATTCCATATCAATGTGTTACTCATCTGAAAATTCTTTCATATTTTACAACTGAGAAGATATCGCTAAACACAGCGTTGCTTAATGTACTTTGAAAATTAAAATGAAATATTAAATTATGTATAATAGAATAAATTACCTTAGGGATAACAGCGTAATATTTTTGAAGAGTTCATATTGATAAAAATGATTGTGACCTCGATGTTGAATTAAGAAAAATTTTAAATGTAGAAATTTAATAATTAAGTCTGTTCGACTTATATAATCTTACATGATTTGAGTTCAGATCGACGCGAGTCAGATTGGTTTCTATCTTAAATTAATTTTAATAATTTTGTACGAAAGGACTTTTTATTATAAATAAAATTTGAAAAAATCGTTAAAACATAAATGAATAGACACAAATCTTACCACTGACAGAAATCAGCACAGATTTCAAAAATCTCAAAAATTTTATAACTCAAGAACTTGTAAAATGGCCATTTTGATTGGTTAAGTATGTTCAGTATCAATGTAGCTTCTGACCTTTCAAAAATACTTTTAAAAATGGTATCCTCGACGAAGCAAGGGTTAAGCATTATCTTGGATAAAAATAAATTATCAAAGAAGAGGATGCGGTGAGTGCGTATCTCGTACATATAATCATAAGACGTTACCTGGGACGCGGTTATCCCGGAAGTGCATTGTGGAGTCGGTAAAGAATGCTTCCTGGCTTCTCTCCAAGGGGACAACAGATAAGGATTCAAGGATGGTGAATCTGGATCCAAGCATCGAGGGGGTGATTCGTTTCTACGTCGCTCTGCTTCCTCTTCTCCTAACGTGCTTTCTTCGACGATGATCTGTGGCTCACCGCCACTTCCGGTATTCAAGCTCGAACTGTTCGATTGTCTCCTCATTTCGTTTCAAAATCCTTTCTCTATGAAAGTATGGAAAACAGAATAATTACGAATGTTATAAATAACTGAATAATTTGTGTTCTTGTTTGCAAATAAAGTTATTTGAGATTCTCGTTTACTTGAATTCTTAACGTTATACTTTTGTGTTACTGGTTAAGCATTGAAAGCTTCGTAAAACAAAAAGGGTAATCCTTGAGATTTTGTTCATTATTTATTGAAAGACTTGCAAGGATTTTTAATGAGCAAGAAAATAGCTCCAAATGTAAAGGAAATAAATCCTTGTAATTTGTGAAACGTACAACGGGAAAGTTTCTGGAACACTTTTTATCTTACGATAAATGAAGAAATAAAGAAAAATTGATTTAATACAAACTTCTAAAGTTTATTACTTACTCTTTCACATTTTTTATACATTATTAAATTATTTTTACATATTGTAAATGCATTCTTGAGTATATTAAACTAGCTAATATTGATACAAAAATGTCTACAAAAATTTGCAATGAAATAATTATCCGTAATTGATGCCTTCGATTCACGCTTCAGACAAGAGCTAGATAACGAAGGATTAGAATGGCGGAAAGTTGACAAAAGTCTATTCGTTTTTGAAGTTGAATCGATTTTTGTTTGTGAACAGAAATTCGATGTCAACTTTATCCCCTCAGGATGATGTGTGACATCGTTAGACTGATTCGATTCACTTGATGTCAACTTTGGTTTAAACTCGTCGTCGATATATTTTGATTAATCCCTTCAGACCATGATTTTTCCCGCAATTCGAAGAAACGTTCTGACGCACATTACGATGTTGACACGATAAAATCGGAGTCTACATACGTGGGAAACTTTCTAAATAAATATTTAATCGAAAAATGAAATGAAAAATTTGAAAGGAATCCGCAGAAAAAGTGATGGTCTTTTTAAATAAATAAACACGCTTCAAATAACGGTATTTTAATATTTAAGCTAAAATAGCTGTTTAAGATAATAGACTATTGTGACGCGTATTGCGTAAATAATTTATCTAAATAATCATCAAACTTGTAGTAAAAATATATGAATAATAAATTAAAAATTTTTCATTTTAAATTATAGAAATTTTCATAATTATTTTGAGTTAGCTAAATTGTGAACTTTAAACCTTTTGCGAAACCGGTAATCAACGCTGAAATTTTACATTTAACGATACAATTATGAAAGCAATTGTACTCTGCAGCCTGCTTTACATTTCTATTCATACATTTACATTTCATTCCATTCTGTATTTTCCTTTCATTTTTACACAATAACAATATCTTTTGTTATCGACTCGATACAGTTTCTTCCAGAAATCAGAAACAAATATTCGCTGTTCGATTCGCAAATACTAGCGAAGAGGTTATGCACGTACGTTGCCGCGTTTTAAACGACGTTTAATCGGAGATGTCTAGATTTCGAAAGAAAGTTCATTCTTACGTGAACGATATCGATTTATTAAATGCGGTTTATTTTTATCCGCAGATTCAGCGAACTCCTCCTTTATTTTCGCGGATCATCGAACCGTGTGATTTTTCTACATACAAAGGGCTGCGAATTTGAAACGTGTTCTTCAGATACGTCACAATGCATCGTTTGAAAGATTCGATTCAATTACGATCTCATAAATATTTAAACGAATATTTAGATTAAACTAAAAAATATGTGATAACATTTTCAAAAAAGAATAAATATGTCGTAAAACTGAAATAAATCTACGAAATCGGAGAGCCATAAATCACTCAACAGCTGCATTCAAATACATAAAATTTGGCGCCAATTTCAAAACTCCATTTTGAAGAGAAAATTAAAGAAGAAGAAGTATTGAAATTAACGCAAAAATTAGCTTTCAATATTCAGTGACAGTAGCGCTTTAAATTTGTTACTTTATACTATACTACAGAATTTTAATACTACATTATTTTATACAAGACATATTTTACAAAACTTATATTTTCTTTTAACCAAACTTTGGGTGTAAGACTTTCGTGAGAGACTGTATCTTAAACAAGATTAATATTAACTTTGTCATAAAAGATTACTCGATAAATCTTTGCGGGATGCAAAAGGAAATTCCGCAGGACGGAAGTGGGCAAGGAAGAAGGAGACCAACGAAAGATCGCGTTTCGTGATTTGATGTAGTATATAAAGGACCGTCTTCGTTCCATTAGTATCACTCAAGAATCAATTTGAACGAGTCGCAGTGGAAGGAATCGGTTTTTTCAGTCAACCTCTCTGTTCAGTTTAGAGATCTCTTTTGAGGAAACATGAAGCTCCAACTCATTGTCGTCAGCATTCTTGCTATGATTGCCTATGTTTATGGCGTGAGCGTTCCAGAGGCGGTTTATGATGGACCAACTTATGAATTGAGTGAGTAACAATCTATTACATTCATAATGATTACTTAACTGACTTAAGTCATGTTACATAAATCATATTAATAGTCATACCTAGTTGTAATTGTAACATTATGGTGTTTAATTGGTGTTCAATTGTGGTTATTACTAGTATTAGTACTAGTATTTATTATTATTAGTTAAGCAATTTCGACAGAAATTTCCGCGTTAAGAAATCGATCGCATTAGCTTGATATTTTTCCAAATTTTTGAATACCCATTTCCAAGTTCTTCAACTTTCAAGTTTCCAAATCTCCAAGTACGGAAATGTGGTAGTTTAAAAATTTGGAAACCTGAAATTTCACAAAATTCAGAATTATAGAAATTTTAAATATACAAGTTTACAATTTTCCAGTAGTTAAATATTAAGATATTTAATCATTTAGAAATTTCTATGGTGCACTGTGCTACACTGCAGTATACATACACTACCGTCCATAAGTATGCGGGCACTCGGTTTCGTTACATAAAACATAGTTGAACTTTGTACGAAAGGTATTTAGGGTTATCATATCA